TAAATAAGAAAAAAAAAAAGGTGTGGTGAGCAATATAGTGAAATGAAAAGTTTAAAATTATATAGCAATGAATGCAGAATGGCACCGGCTATAGAGGGCACAATACAGAATACCACCAGCTACAGAGGAGTACAACACATCACAGCAATAATATATTATGCAGCAAAATACCACCAGCTATATAGGAATACAACAAATGCCAGCAATACATTATAGCTGGTGGTATTCTGCATTCCGCTGTATAATGTACTATTGCTGGGATTTGTAGTCCTCTATACAGCGCAATGCACAATACCACCAGCTATAGAGTACAACAAATCTCAGCAATAGTACATTATACATTGTGTAATGTACTATTGCTGGGATTTGTAGTCTCTCGTATAATATACAGCACAATGTACCATCAGCTATAGAGGAATACAAATCCCAGCAATAAATTATAGAGCACCATGTGGGGGGGAGGCAAGTGCAGGCTTACCTGAGCAGTCTTCCAGCAACTTGTTTCTGAGATCAGGCCTGTCTATCGGCGGCTGTCACCCGCCCACCCCTGCTCCTCCGCGTTCCTGTGCCGATCGTGGATGTGGGAGGGTGGTGAGCGTGAGGCGGGGAGGAGGTGCAGCGTGTGGATGCGGTTAGCAGCGGCGAGCGTGAGGTGGGGAGGAGGTGCGGCGCGCAGCGTGTGTGGAGCCGTGAACAGGGCCTACTAACCAGAAGCCGATTAATCGATGATTGAAAAAGTTGACAACTTTTTCAATCATCGATTATGTCGATTAGTTGTTGCAGCCCTACTCTAATCATCTCTGAATTGGTGCCGACACTGTCCTTCCTTCTGGAGGGTGACTACATTTGTTCCCCATGGTCCCTGCGTGTACTTTAAAGTAGTCACCGCTCCAAGCTCACTCCTGTGATGGACTTCAATCTCAATGCAAATTAGTAAACTAAACGTGAGCAAACATTTGTGGGGGAAAAAAATGCTATTTTCATATATTTCACCAAATTCTAAATTATTCTTTTAAAAAACCAGAGGGTCAAAATCCAAGCACTACCACCTAGATAAATACATTGGGGGTCTTCATTGCAAGATGTAGTCATGGGGAGGGCTGAATATTCTATCATTTGGACACCACAAAGTGTCTGTAATGATTGCATGATGCTGATAAATGAAACATATATACATACATACATA